CACACACAATGCTTAACATTTTGCATCTGTGAATTTTCTGAATGATGCCGTCTTACACTTTCCATTCTCCCTTTTAAGAGCAAAGCTTGAATATTCCTGCTCGCCAGTGAGAACACCTTAGCTGAACACACAGTGGAAATGTTAGCGACTTTTAACACTTGAGAGCGAGTTCCTAAACTAGGTTTATATTTCCCTTTGTCGGCAAAGAAACCCAGCAGGAGAAAACAGTACCCATTCACAGAGGCTCCAGTGTTCTCCTAAGGACTCCTCCCCAGTTTAAAACACATTTGCTTCATGGCAGGAGGTTTTAAAGTGGCTTGATTTCAGATTATTAGAATTGCATTTTCAATCTAATTTTTTTATGAGATTGAATGGACTTAATGGATATAAAATTCAATGGACTGTGTTCCCTTTTTTTTTCTCCCCAGGAATCTATACACTGCAGAGTGAGGGAACTGTTTTAAAAAGTCTCTCTGAGAGTCGGCATGCCCAGAAGTAAGCTGGACAGGTCTTTAATATTGATGTGCGAGAAGCAAAGCTCTGGATTTTTTTTTTTGAGGTTGTTTAACCTACTGAAGTGACATTTTTCATAGCATTGTTCTAAAAGAGACTGAAGATGACCCCAACAACCTTATACTCTTCAACAAGGAGGATAAAGTCTTCATCCAAAGAAATAGTGTATCCACTTTTTTGAAGACAGAGTAACATTCCGTTGAAAATAATGTGCATACATCACTTAGAATTTGCAAGGCATCTTAAACAACTTCTATTTTTGCATGTCACCTCAACTGAAATCTTCAGGTTAGTTCACATTATTTATTTAGTTCCTTCTAGATCTTTAAGGCTGTTGATAGGTCTGCCTCTTAGGTCACAGTTTCCCATAATCCCCTGACTTCCTGTGTGACTACCGTGGTTGAGCCATGAGGCAACTGGCTCCAGACAGAGTATAGATTAATACTACAGACTGTAAACACCAGCTCGCTCCCTCTTTGTGCTTCACTAATAAACTGCATGTTTGTCAAAGACAAAAAAAACAACAACTCCGTGAACACACTACCTTTCGCTTGGATAACAGCATGTCAAGACAAGGTCTTTACCTCACTGTGGTTGTGGCTGATTCCTGCAAGTTCATGTACTACAATACGTAACCAACACTGACTCAGAAATTCCTTCTGAGAATGTCTCAAAGTCCGCAGCACTGAAAACAAATTACATGCTTTTCGTAACCACCTGTACTCATTTGCTGTTGTTCTTAGGAAGCTGCATGTTAGTCTCTCAAATGCTCAATGCTATCACCACATTAACTTAGGTTTACTGAAAAAAAGATAGTCCCCTTGACTAAACTTCAAGCACTTGTGAAAAACACCCAATACTCAATGCAGATATCACCACAGAGCCTTCATTTTGTTACAGTGGAACCTACCCACAAAGCCCTGTGAATTGCCACCATTTCACTCCAACTGTACATTCCCAGGTTTAAGTATTTCTGTACTGATTTACTCCCCACCTCACAGCCTTCATTTGTCAAATCCTGGTCTCCCGTCTGTCCCCCAAGCCTGTCTACACTTTATGGGCGACAGGGCCTTCTCCTGTTATGCCCCAAAGGATATCAGAGAGTCACCTTCCCTAATCACTTTCAAATCCAGACTCAAAACCTTCATTTTTAGAGGGTTTTTTATTGAAATGGTTCCTTGTGCACCTTTGCTCCTACTGTATTCCATACTCTCATTGTGTATATTCAATGCATATATTTTGTGTATTTTTTGTTTTGTTGTTGTGTAAAAAACTCTGAGAAGCCGCTATATAAAAATAAAGTTTATGTTTATTAAGTACTTCGACAATGTGGAGTATTTCAATTTCCCCGTAAAGACGGCGGTTTTGAGATCTCCGTGTTCTTCTCCTCCCAATTGCACTTTGATTTTTATTCACGACGTTTAACTAGAACTATCCGAAGGCATTCTCTTCCATCAATGACTAGTCCTCCACCATTAAACGTGCTACAGCCAGGCCCAGCCGAGTGGCTCAGCCGGTAAAGGCACCCGCTGAGCTCCGTGAGCCCGGGTTCGAGCCTGGCTCTCGTCGTTAGCTAACCCTGCCTGGCTAGCTAATGCAGGATTGGCTGAGTGCAGCCGAGAAGGGGGTGGGGCTAACTGTCTGGGACTCCCACCAGCTCCTTCGGCCTCCAGGAGTCAAGGTTAAAACATCATCTAAAACCTTACAGTTACAGGTGACTTCCAGGAGAAAGATTAAAGCCCTAAAGTCCCAGGGACACTCTACACATCCTCCTTCAGAGGTCAGATTAGGACACATGAACACTGCCTTTATGCTTAATGACAGAGTGCTCCTATTTCCAGGGAATGCCGGAACACTTTCCCTTCACTGTCAAAACTCCACACTTGCAAGTTTTTCCTTGACCTGTCTCAGGGGAGATCCAACAATAACAGTCTTCACCAAGGCAGGCAATACTCGTTTCATACAAAGGCATCTCAATAAACAAATCTGATCTGCTGTTGTCCAAGTCATTGGTGTGCCTTTCCTCTCTTTGGCAATTCATAACATGTCACGTAGGTTCATCTGGAAAGGTTCTTCTTTGCTGCAAATTAACTATTTGTTGTGATCCTTTGGGGAAAAAAATGAAATGGGTTCTTCAAGGTAGTTCTCAATGCTGATGGACTCTGATGGTGTGACAGCTGGGATAAAGATCAAAAAGACTTTCCAGAGAGCGCCAACGGAAAAAAAAACACTCTTGTCTTTGTGGTCTTTCTCCCGATCTCCCCAAACCAATCAGTTGCCACAGAAGTCTGTTTCATGAAAGAAAAATAAATCCGCTTATCAGAGAGGATGAGAGATCGAGCCTGATGTTATTTCTGCTCCCTCTAAAGTAGTCCAGCAGAGGATTAGCTGTGAGGCATTAACTTGCTACAAGGTGAACAATGTTATGCGTGTCAGAGCACAATTAGGTGGCTGAAACTAGATGGATAACATCCTAATAATTATTGTTAAGGGATCTGGTCTTTAACCCAAAAAGTACTTGCAGTATAGATGACGTTAATGCAAATCTCTTGTAACACTGTCTATTATGTCAGGCCTGCCCTGGAAGAGCCAAGTGTAACTTTATTTACTTTTACCACAAGCAGTAACTGCATTCCATTTTACTGACAGTAATAAGTTCAAGTTTATTGTCATTACACTCATATACATGGTATATGGTATAACGAAATGCTATTTAGCTAGTCTCAGACAAAA